TCAAACATCAAATGTTTATGCACACAAATGTTTGACCTGAGCGGGAAACGAACCCGCGACCTTTGGAATAGCAGTCCGTTACACAAACCACTACACCATCCAGTCGTCAAAAAATAAAAAAATAGAAATAAATGTAAATAAATAAAATAAATGTATACATGTAGTTATTTTTATAAAGAAAAATGCAAGTATCAAACTGAGATTTAGCCCGTTCGCTCGCTAAACACTAAGTACATAAAATACGAGTGTCTTAATACGCCAGTGTGCACGAGTCGACGCATCGCTATCTCGCCCGACTTTTTCAGTTTGCCTATTCAATTTACCATCGTCCGAATTCGTTAGTCAGTCTGTTTGACTCCGCGTAACTCGGTAATTGCCATCTTGTTTAGTACTCCCGGGGATTTGAATAATAAAACTTTTTTACTAGATAAAAGAAATTCAGCGGTGGCATATTTCTTGAATAAATGATTTGGTTGAGTTGAGTTCAGTTCATTCCTCTTGGGTATGTAAATAGTATTGTATGGCGTTTGGCGATGTTAACAAAGAACAAAAGATTGATTTAATTAGTCCGTTTTTTTATTTAGTTGTATAGAACTATCTATTGTTAAGAGCTTGTTAAGAGTTTGGTTTTTTAGGTAAAATTACAAAATATGACATATTATATTAGCAGATATGGTATACGGTGGTGACGACCGGATTGCGTAGTGATTTGTGTAACGGACTGCTATTCCAAAGGTCGCGGGTTCGATTCCCGCTCAAGTCAAACATTTGTATGCATGAACATTTGATGTTTGATTTGGTCTGGGTGTTTCTATGTATAATGTGTATGTATTTACAAAAAAAATAGTATATATGTATTTATATCAGTTGTCTAGTAGCCATAGTACAAGCTCTGCTTAGTTTGGGACTAGATGGCGTTGTGTGTATGTGGTAGAATATTATTATTATTATTAAACTACCACATATGTATAATATTTTCATTGCAGTGCGATCAGCAACCCCAAGCTCACTTTTGAATCACTTCGATGTAACTATTAAACCTTAAGTTGTGTTCCATAAGAATTCTAGGATACATTAAATTGCTGTATTTCTGAATACTATGGTCGTGTGGTTTTAGTCGGTTTGATTTTGACACACGTGGCGACACGTTCGATAGATGTGTAAAATTATTGGAACGAAGTTCCTTATCGCGCGTTGTAAAAGGGGGCTAGACGGAAAAAATTGTCACGAAAAGTTGTAACGACACTTTTTATGTCAGTCATTCAGCGCCATCTATCGAATAGGTAGGAAATCATTTCTCAAGGAGATTTTACCAATGTATAAATTGTTTTAATTAGAAACCAACTGAAAAATATGTAGGTAATAGCCGCTTTCATAGATGGCGTTGTAATTAAAATCGTGTCGAATCAGTTTTACTCGATCGTCACAACTTCGTTCCTATCGGGTGTCCCACGACACCACACGGCTTTTTATTTAAAAAATTAGAGCCTCCTTTTTATAGTTGATAAATAAGTCCTAGTGTGAGCTGTTCCAAAGCATATGCAGACGAATACGTCGTGACGTATCATATAATAATGTGGTAGGTACTTGTACGTCATGCTGCGCAGTTATTTATTCCCCGCGTGGCGGCGGCAACGACTAAATTGGATTTCAACATTGCGTCTCTACATCGTGATAGAGAATACAATTTGTGATAAACTTCGACAACAAGTTTTCCACGATACCACGGTGTCTTATGAAATTATAGTATGTTTGTTGAAAAACCAATATACTTACTATAATATATCGTAGGTAGTACGTTTAATCTACTTTTTTCCATGAAGGAATTCCTAGTTTAGCTGAAGTTTGACGAAAGCCCTCCGTTCATTGTGAAATTCTATTTGTTAATTCAAACTCACTTAAAGTTTACTTAAAATAAGCAATAGTAACTCAATCTGTTCTATCGCCAACTATTAAACTTATATACAAGAAAGTATACAATGATCAAGTGCGATATTTTTAATTATATCGAACTTTTTTTAAACAAGAGAGACTAGTTCAGAACTAGTAATTTCTCGTCCTCTGGTTATTACACTATGGACTGACAAAAATTTATTATGGGTTAGTTTAAATTAAAAAAATTGATGATCTTCTTTAATTCGTATCTATTTAAGTTGTGAAGAGATTATTGAGTTTTAAATTACTCATGAATAATCGAAAAAAACACAAAGGACTGTTGCACTATTTTCAAAAAAGTGGACATAGGCCTCTCCTTAGAAAGTTAATATAGGGTTTGTTTCAATCTTCTTCTCTTTGCAGTGCTGTTGTTCTGCGTAGTTTGATCCCTCAGTCGGCTCTTACAACATCCACTGGTTGAATAGGGGTGGTGACACTCCGTATTCTATCCCGTCACCCCACGTATATATACATTGAATTGAAGTGAATAATATGGCTACATATTATGAGTAAAATACTAATTGAAAATGTGCAACCGCACCATTAAATATAGTGTGACGTGGTTGTGAGCTTGTGGTTGCTTGTTTGGTATTTTATATCGGTAAGTTTCTCATGTGTGTTGCAAAATGCAAAACCATGTACTCTTATGTATTATATTATCACGTAACATGTTGCAGTTAAAGTGCAGAATTCGTTAATTTAAAAAAAACAAAAAAAAACATCGTATTTAGACAGGCCTGTTGGTCTAGTGGTTGGTGACCCTGACTGCTAAGCCGGAGGTCGTGGGTTCGATTCCCATCCAGAACATATAATGTGTGATGAGCACGATCATTTGTTCTGTGTCTGGGTGTAATTTATCTACAAGTATAATATGCATGTACTTAGAACTATATAAGTATGTTTATCAGCAGTCTGGTTACCATAGTACAGGCTCTGCCTAGTTTGGAATCAGACTGCCGTGTCTAAGATGTGTCAAGTTATTGTTATTATTTAAGGAGTTTGATGATTGAGCAGACAGGCGATGTGACGGTAAGTGACAACCACTGCCAATGGACCCCTTCAATTCGAGAGATACAAGGGAGTTGCCTCACTTTGTGTGCTTCCGAATCAGGGGAGATTCTAGTTCCCACACCTTATCTATCTGCCTGGCCTTCACCTTCTTTCTTTCTTCCGTCTCAAAATGCTTACACTTGACTTTAGCCAGTCGGACGGCAATAAAGGAAACCTACCTATATATATATCTGAATAAATACCTACATCATCATCATCATCATCATCAACAGCCCTTAAAAGTCCCCTGCTGGACATAAGCCTCTCCTTAGAAAGGAGGTTTTGGCCTACTATACCACGCTGGCCAGGCGGGTTGGTACCTACATATTTTAGATAAATTATGCCCATACACAGAACAAATGACCTCACGCCTCCTGGCTTAGCAGTCAGACTAACTAGACCAACAGACCAGTTTTCACCAACAGACAAGACGAAAACATTCATACCATTTACAATACGTCCAAGTTTAGAGTTTGCCTGCGACGTAGATACTTCCAGGTTATTGTTATTTTAATACGACAGTAAGGTATGTGACGTCGGAGCAGGAAAATCCTGTTCACACCCCCCCAGTTGACTTCGACAGCGCGACGGCTCGCATATCCAAAAAGCCTTTTGATTCTTAAACCCGTATAAAAATATCACATTGAATTCCCCCTCTTTCAAGTTCCGTTCCTCGGTTCGAGGCTCACACAAAGCTGTCTTGTGCCTTTATTATATTTGCCATCCATCTTTTTTACACTGACGTCACATTAAACCTTAAATAAAACGTGTCACTAAGAAATAATGTCCTCAATCTCTTTTATAGGTTATTTTGATAATGTTTGTTTCTACTAAACGCATTTTGATATTCTAACGAGTTTATAAAAAGTATTTATTAAATACAAATTAGGAAAAATTGTGTAATTAGTGTGATAATTTGTTCTGTGGCTGAGTATAATTTGTCTATAATACTTATGTATTTGGAAATATGTACAAGCAAGTATTTTCATCTGCAGTGTATAAACCAATACAGTAACTGTACTGTATTGGTTTGTGCCTGTACTATGGTGTACTATACTGATAGTACACCATAGTACAGGCACAAAGGGATCTGATGTCCGTGTGTAAGATGTGTCCAGTTATTATTACACAAGACAAACAATATACACCTTTATGGGTTTAGTAGTCCACTGCTGGACATAGGCCTCTCCTTAGAAATTAGGTTTTAGCTTAATATACAACGCTGGCCAGACGGGTTGGTATAGGGTTTGTGTCAAGTTTTCCTTCTTTCTGCAGTGCTGTTGTCCCTTTAAGGTGCAGAAATGGAACATAAAAATTGAAAATTTATCATGTCAAAACTTTCAACCTTTAAGTTCCACATTGAAAATTATTATTTTGGAAAACTTTAACACACAAATTTACAGTGTAGTTAGCACTGTAAATATTCCCCAGCACGCATTAAATAAGTGAAAATGGGCATCGAATGTGTCTGACATAACAAAATTATTCGAACATTGTTTTGTTAAGATTATTTTTGCCTTATTGCCTATAACAGTCTTTATTTTGATAAAAAATAATGTGTAAATCCAATGAAGATGAGATATAACATAACTTTTTCATAATGCTTTAATTTAGTTTGTGTCTGGCAAGGTACTGGAGATCTACGGAATTTCTAAGAACATATCTGGTGAATTTTTAGGTGATGAACTAAATTTCTAAACCACCATTCTTCTTTCGGAACCTAAACGTAACTTTCTGTGTAGTGGGCGTTATTTTTTCTTTAGCTTATCCTATCGTACAGCAACATGAAAGTTTTGTAGCCATAGATTAAACACCTTTAAAAGTCTATTTCATTTTCTTTCATTTTGTTTCACTGTTACAATACAACAATACAATACAGTTATGGTACAATACATGCTAGAGACATGTATTGTAACGATAGAATGAAAGCTACAATATCTTAAAGAATGACAGTATTCTGCCATAAAACAATAAAAGAGCTCACGAAGTTTGGAAGATGTATTTCTGAACACAAACTAAGGGTCACCAAATAATGCGTACTGGTTGAAAAGATTTTCGTCTATTGGAAATCCAATTTCGATCGGGTCATCATCGTCTAGTTCCGAATTATTATTGTTTTCGGGTAATTTATCACTTGCATGGTGTCCTAAGTTATTACTTTGCTCAGAATCAGTCTTTGAATCATCGTCATCATATGGTAAATGGCCATTATCATTTAATTTATCCTCTTTATTAACTTCTGGGGAATTGTCATCCCTTTTATTTTCATCTAGTAAACTATCACCATTATGATTTTTATCCGATATGTTGTCATAACCTTCGCTTCCATTCGGCGAGTTATTATTATTTTCTTTGTTTTTATCTGGTATGTTATTGTCGCCTTCATTATTCTCTACTAAATTGCCATCACCTTTATTGTGACTCTCTAAGGATTCATCATCTGTGTTCTCTGGAACTATGTCATGATTTTCGTTATTATCCGGTAAGTTAATGTCATCTTCATTGACCTCTGGCAAATTATTGTCTTCACTTTTATGGTCACTCTCTAAGGATTCATCATCTGTGTTATCTGGAACTATGTCATGATTTTCGTTATTATCCGGTAAGTTAATGTCATCTTCATTGACCTCTGGCAAATTATTGTCTTCACTTTTGTGGTCACTCCCTAAGAATTCATCACCTGCGTTATCTGGAACGATGTCATGATTTTCATTGTTATCCGGTAATTTAATGTCATCTTCATCGACATCTGGCAAATTACTGTCTTTACTTTTATTGTCACTCCCTAAGAATTCATCACCTGCGTTATCTGGAACGATGTCATGGTTTTCATTGTTATCCGGTAATTTAATGTCATCTTCATCGACATCTGGCAAATTACTGTCTTTACTGTTATTGTCACTCCCTAAGAATTCATCAATTGCGTTATCTGGAACGATGTCATGATTTTCATTGTTATCCGGTAAGTTAATGTCATCTTCATTGACATCTGGTATATCATTGTCTTCACTTTTATTGTCACTCCCTAAGAATTCATCACCTGTGTTATCTGGAACGATGTCATGATTTTCATTGTTATCCGGTAAGTTAATGTCAGCTTCATTGACATCTGGTATATTAACGTCAAGTGGTGCATCATCCGGTAACTGTTCAACTCCTTCATAGTTATCTACAAAATTATTTTCACTTGATTTTTCATCGGGGATGTCCTCAGAATTTGCATTATTATCGTGAATTCTATGAAAATCAGTTTCATAACTGTCTCGTAAATTGTCGTCAAGTTCCTCATGGATATTGTCATCACCAGGTGCTGGCATGGGATATGTGTGTATCATCTGACAACCCACCAGCGCCAATATTAATAAAGCCTGTAAAGTTAAATATTATATCAAATGTATATTTGTACAAATATTATTTATAAACTTATTTTGACTTTTGTAAGACAAGAAACAATTGTTGTTCTGAAACCAGTCCCATCAATCCATCCTCATTTCGCTCATATATATGTATGTCTCTGTACATATTTACACAGCGCTCTTATGTACCTGAATATTGACAAGAAGCATACCCTAGTACCTGCAAACATTTGGTTACCTTTTAGCTGTAACTAAATAGTATCATCATATTAGCTGTCTAAATTTGATAAACGGAACATTGAGTACACTGCTTGCACATACGAGATAGTAGGATTTCGAGAAACGACTAAGAACTCTCGGCTAACGATGAGGTCTTATAACTTCTCTTTGTGTTTTTTGTTACGTTCGACTCGGACATAATCGCTTAAAGCGCGCGTCATGTCCTCGGTGGGCTTTAACTATAATTTATCGTAGAGAAAAAAGTAATCAAAATTGTATGAAAGTCTATCTAAGAGTATACTTCTCTTCACTAGATAAGCAACGCCAGTTTAAAACTTTATTTAACACGTAGTGAGACTATTCCGATAAACTTAGTTGGCGGAGTTGACCACAATGATCCAGGGTCTTTTAAAACAAATACAAAAGAACACTACACTTCCGCGTTTTCGAGAGACATCATACTAATTAAATAAAACACTCACCAAAAGTCGCATGATGACGAATTTTGAACTAAACTGTTAAATGCTTTTTAATTCAATATATATCGTATTTTTATATATCTATCTATCTATCAACCACAACCCAGACCGCAAGGTTTATATCTATACGAGGTTTGTTATACGAGTGTGTTTACACTGGCTAAATAGGAACACTCAATATGATCAGAAAAGAAATTACATTGATGTGTCCAAAATAAATATTTTTTGGAGTTGCATCATAAATGAGTCCTATATGCAAGGATTTTTAATGGAATGGTCCATCTGTATTATGTGGTCTTATAAATAATTCATACTATTTAAAGTTCGATACAGAGCTTCATTCGATATTTCTATGATATCAATAAATCTTCAGTGCGGTAGTTTAGTTATTTAAATAGAATACTGTACCTTATGTTTCTGTACGATATACAGCTGAAGTTAAAAACAGACTCCTTAAATTACACTCCTTTCATCTCTAGCTTTAGCTGTATTTGCTATCTGTTCGATGCAATTATTAAAAAGGTGTTAAGGATAATATTATGTATTTTTTGAAATTCTGCCTTTTATCTATTCTGCTTTCATTAGGTACATATGCATAAACTGAATTAAAATAGCTATTAAATTAAGTTTAATATAAAGAAAATACATAAAATAAAATAAAAGCGTAATATTTCAATTCATCTACCATCTGATGGCTAACTTTAGAATCTCGCACGTTTATTCCTTAATGACTTCCTGTTACGAACTTCCGTTCCTTTCCACGAAATAGGTTGTATAGGTTGTACGATATATGTTTTCAATTAATTTGGTTATTATCGGCTCAAAATAAAAATGTAACAGGCTATTATAATCAGGAAAAGATCGGGTTTATGATACTTCCCTCCCCTACTATAATTTTAATAAGCCTTAACGTGGCATTACGCAGCATCTTCAGTGTAAACATACCTTAGCTTCATTAGTAACACTATAATAAAGAATATGTTTTTTTCATTACGTGCGTCATTAATTTCTGTACGAGTAGAAGCTGATTCATGTCCAATAAACAAATGAGTTTAATGGTGCATCAAAACAACGCTGTGCGAATCAAGATATTTTTACAAATTTACGTAGATGGAAAAATTTGCATTATTGCAATATTGCCTTGCTTGCCGTTGGGCAAGTGATTTAATTACAAGCTGAAGGTTGCTTCAACTTGCCCCGCAATAGGGGGAACTCAGTTGTGGGACTTGGCGATGATAGTCAATTACCATCAGGTGACTCGTCTGCTCGTTTCCCTATATACTATAAAAAATTCCTAGTTTACAATTTAAAGTTGTTGTTTTATTTCCTCTACAGCATTAGTCAATAGTATTGCTTTTTCTGCTGCTTTATTTGATTTAACTTCCGGTAATAATTGACTTTTACTGTAATGATATTGAGTCATTTGATTCTAATTTTAGAATTTGTTATTAAAAGTTAAATTATAGTTTATAAATTGTCCATAGAAACATGTCAAAAATAGTAACTTAATAAAAAATTCTTAACAAGAGTTCGCCAAGATAGCATCGTGATTTAAGCATAAGAGTATTTTTAACAGATGAGTATTGCTATGAACTCTGACTAAGGAACTTAATCTAAATCTAAACTAAATTTAATAAATTTAAAATAATGAATAAAGAACTTAATCTTTTCTGTTTCAGTTTTAGACTACATTTAAATAATGTTCTTCATTATCTTGACAAATAAAAATGATCAAATGCCCTTTTGAAGTCAAGAAGCGTTTACTATATTATATATAGCATACAGGGCAAATAAGCAGACGGGTCACCTGATGGTAAGTGACTACTTGTAACTCAAGAGTACAAGTGCATTCCGCCCTTTGAGTTCCTCCACCCAGTCCCCCCTTCACCCACTCAGCTTCTTATATTCTTTCTTTAGTCTTCTTATTGAAAAGACAACTCCCGCCTTAGGAATATATCCTGTGTCGCGGGGAGCTTTACAAACATACATGAACCAGACACAAAGAACACCTAGACTCAGATTTATGAATCACACAAAGTGTCGTTCCATGTGGGGATCGGCCTCAGCGTAGTAGTAAGCGGCGTGGTGACTGCTTAAACCACTACGCCATCCATGCAGTCCAATATTGTTACTGTATAGGATTAACATGACGGCCGTTTAAGACAGTAGTTTTTAAAAGAAATTGGTAGAAAAACGAAGTAAATAGATGTCTCTCGTTGTGGGAGTACAATTGAGAAGACGTAATTTTTAACTATGACTTTCCATCTGTCCTAATTTTTACTGATTTCTTATTTCTGCATAGCCATTCAAAGTTTTAGGTTGAGAAGCAAATAATAGAATCTTTAATTTTGATGAATCTATTTATGAACGCTATCTTTATTCGAGGGGTGGTTGTCGTTGTAAGAAATAGTTATCACAAGCTTTTTAATTATCATTTTATTTATCATATTTTTCACGTTTGTCACCTCCTGGGCTGTCGTCTTTACCATTATCACTGGGCAGATTTGGTTTGTTATAGTTTGGTTCATCATCATCTGGTAAATTATCATCTTCTTCATTACTATCTGGTAAATTATCTTCACTTTCATTATCCTCCGCAGAGCTATCAGTACCTTCATTGTCATCCATTGTGACGTCTTCAGATTCATCAGCATCCGGTAAGTCGTCATCACTTTCATCATAATCAGTTGTATTGCTGTCATCTTCAGTATTGTCAGATATATAACCGTAGTCTTTAGTAGTGTCAGATATGTTGCCATCATGCTCATTGTTTTCAGGTATGTTGTCGTTATCTTCATTATTGTCAGATATTATACCACCATCTTCATTATCATCAGGCATGTTGCTTTCCTCTTCATTGTCAGCAGGCATGTGGCTTTCCTCTTCATTGTCAGCAGGCATGTTGCTATCATCTTTATTTTCATCAGATTGGGTGACGTCATCTTCACCATCATCAGGTATATTGCCATTATCTTCATTGTCATCACTTTTGATGCTGTCATCTTCATTTTCACCAGTTATATTGCCATGATCTTCATTGTCACCCTCTAACTTATCGTCATTTTCAACCTCATCTGGTGAGTTTTCATCATCCGCTCTATCATTGGGGTGTGAGGGGCGAACCACCATCTTTCGCCCCAAGCCAACCTCACCTGCCCGCGGTGCATCCTGCTGAACGACGAACGAGGCTCTGGCGACCGACCGATGGCGGTATATCCATCCCAATAGGCGTAGCTAAATACAACAGGCCGGTGACGGGCAGCAGCGTTACCGGTGCGACAAGCTACGCCCTGCGATCGCCAACCCGCCTGCCCAGCGTGGCGATTATGGGCAAACCCCTCCCATGCAGACGCAACAAAGGCCACGGCCCCCAGTTCCCGGCGGCCCCGCTATTCCTGGTCATGGTGGCGACCTCGGTAAAGGCGGGGCAGGGGGTGCGAAGAATCTCCGGGCTACGGGAGGCCACCACAACCGACTGACCCTGGCTACGTACAACGGACGCACGCTACGGCTAGACTCGCATCTGGCGCAACTTGAGGTGGAACTTGGGAAGATTAGGTGGCATATCCTAGGGCTATGTGAAGTCCGAAGAGAGGGGGAGGACACCATAACCCTCGAGTCAGGCCACCTAATGTACTTCCGCGAGGGAGACCAACAATCCCAAGGTGGGGTTGGGTTTCTGGTAAATAAGTCCCTATCTGACAACGTTGTGGAAATTTCCAGTGTGTCGAACAGGGTAGCGTACCTCATTATCAAGCTCACCGAGAGGTATAGCCTCAAGGTTGTGCAAGTATACGCACCGACCTCGGCACATTCGGACGACGAGGTGGAGGATATGTACGATGACATATCGAGGGCCCTCCACTTCACAACTAAGACCCACTACAACGTTGTTATGGGTGACTTCAACGCTAAAGTGGGAGTACAGAATTGCGGCGAATCGGTAGTAGGATCCCATGGATTTGGAAGCAGGAATCATAGGGGGCAAATGCTGGTCAACTTCCTCGAACGGGAGGGGCTGTTTTTGATGAATTCTTTCTTCAAGAAACAGCCCCAAAGGAAGTGGACGTGGCAAAGCCCCGACGCTATGACCAGAAATGAGATCGATTTCATCATGACGGATAGAAAGCACATATTCAGAGACGTCTCAATGATCAATAGGTTTAATACCGGTAGTGATCACCGACTTGTCCGGGGCTCTCTGAATATCAACTTTAAGGCGGAACGTGTCTGTTTGATGAAATCCAGGCTCCGACCAACTCGGCTCCAAGCCATGACAGGATCTGAAACGTTCCAGTCAAAACTGGAAAACCGATTCGCTGCCGTGGAAACCACAATCGACGTAAACCAGAACCTCAAAAATGTGGTTCAGATCCTCAGGGAAGAAGGTATGAGATTTTGTAAAATGCAGCGTAAGGGCAGGAAGTCGAAGCTTTCAGAAAGGACCCTAGGGCTGATGAAGAAACGACGTGAAAACCCACCTGTCACTTTGTCGGCAAAGCGGACTCTAAACCGAGAGATCAGTAAACTCGTACGACACGACCTCCGGTGCTCCAATACTCTTTCAATTGAAAGAGCGATCGAGCAAAATCGGGGGTCAAAAGTGTTCGTACAATCTCTTGGAAGAAGCCACCTGACAAAGTTGACTAAAGAAAGTGGAGAAGTCGTTGCTTCGAAGCCGGCAGTCCTTTTGGAAGTGGAAAGCTTCTATGGCCGGTTATACGCTTCGCATGCATCTCGACCTGATCCCGAAAATGAGGACTCTAGAGCCACATTAACACGTCACTACACCGAAGACCTGCCAGAAGTTAGCATTGACGAAATCGAGATGGCTCTTGGACAGCTGAAAAATGGAAAAGCCCCTGGAGAGGATGGCGTTACAACAGAGCTGCTGAAGGCCGGGGGTAAACCCGTACTAAGGGAGCTCCAAAAGCTCTTCAACGCTGTCCTGTTTGAAGGGAGAACTCCAGAAGCGTGGAGTAGGAGTGTGGTCGTCTTGTTCTTCAAAAAGGGTGACAAGACCAGGTTGAAGAACTATCGACCCATATCCCTTCTAAGCCACGTCTACAAGCTGTTTTCGAGAGTCATCACGAACCGTCTTGCGCGAAGACTCGACGAATTCCAACCACCGGAGCAAGCTGGGTTTCGGAGCGGATATGGCACCATAGACCACATCCACACAGTGCGGCAGATTATACAGAAGACCGAAGAATATAATCAGCCCCTGTGTCTAGCATTCGTGGACTATGAGAAAGCCTTTGACTCGATCGAGATCTGGTCTGTTCTGGAGTCCCTGCAGCGTTGCCAAGTAGATTGGCGATACATCAAAGTGATGAGATGTCTCTACGAAGCCGCCACCATGTTTCAGTGTAAATAATTACAGGCCTATATCCATTCTACCAGTTATGTCCAAAATTCTGGAAAAAATTATCAACAATCGTTTAGTGGACTATCTGGAATCACAGAATATCCTAGCACCAAATCAGTTTGGTTTTAGAAAAGGAAAGTCTACAGAAGATGTCGTTGCCTCACTTGTGGATCATACTGTAACAAAGCTAGATAATAGTAAGAAGTGTCTAGGTGTATTCCTTGATATTTCAAAGGCGTTTGACACTGTGTCTGTGCCGCGCCTGCTCTCGAAGTTGGAAAACATTGGTATTCGTGATCTGACTCATAAATTGTTCCGGGACTATTTAAATGACAGAACCCAACGTGTTACCATAAATGGACTATTAAGTGACACTAAATCCCTGTCTTTTGGGGTCCCACAAGGTTCAATTTTGGGGCCGACGCTGTTTTTAATTTACATTAATAGCCTCTGCAAGCTCAGAGTACCAAACTGTTGCATATATACTTACGCGGATGATACAGCCTTAATTTTACATGGTAATAACTGGACAGAGACGTATACGTACGCTGAAAAAGCCATTGAGACAGTGATGACTTGGCTGTACGTAAATACGTTAACAATTAACTTGCATAAAACTACTTACATTCCGTTTTGTCTGAAGCCTTCTGCACTACATTTCTTAGATACTCTGGCTCTCAGGGCCCACATTAACATGTGTCCTGGGAACTCTAGTTGTGATTGTCCATATCTTACAAGAACTACTGTAGTAAAATACCTCGGTATCCTCATTGACAATTCATTAAATTGGAAGCAACATCTTGACAATCTCACTTTGAGAATGCGGAAGCTTATCTTTCTCTTTAAAAAGTTAAGGCACTCCGCAGTTCCAGATACACTTAGGACCGTGTACTTTGCATTGGGTCAATCAGTACTCACGTATTGCATTACTGTGTGGGGTGGTGCACCGAAAACGCATCTCCTGAAACTTGAACGAGCACAGAGAGCTATCCTTAAGGTGATGACCTTCAGAACTTTCAGGTACTCGACTACCTTGTTATACTCAGAGTGTAGGATTTTGACGGTGAGACAGCTCTTTATACTCCATACTATACTCCGTAAACATAGCCATCTTCAGTGTGATACAAATGTTATCAGAGGCCGTCGATACTATAAAGTTTGTCCCACCCACAAATCAAAGACTGCTGCTGCTCGGCGTCATTTCCACATTCTTGGCAACTTTCTATACAATAAAGTAAATAAGCTATGTGATATCTACCACCTCACCAAATATAGATGCAAGGTGAAAGTCTATGAGTGGCTTTACACATTGACTTATACAGAGACAGAGAACCTAATAATCCTATCAACCCTTTAGGCTATAACATCAAAAACTATTTACACGAACGGGAATAACGCGCACACACACACACACACACATACGTGAGTCAATCACACACACACACACACACACGCACGCATGCATACTCACTCTCACGCACGCATGTTCTTTTTTAATTGTTGCATGTAATAGACATAGTGTCTGTCAATTGTAACCACGCTACATCTGATTGATTGTATTCCAAATGTGAGAGACCTGATACCCATAACACAAGTTAAATCTTACCTTGGGTATCAGTGTCACAACATACTGCTTACCGTGTAATATTGTGATCCTATTTAGTTTTAATTGTAAGTGGTTTATTGTACAACTTAATGCAAATAAAGATATTATTATTATTATTATTATTATTATTATGTCCGTCCAAGTACAGAATCAGCAAACAAGGCCCGTACCATTGCATCGAGGAGTGAGACAAGGGGACGTTATTTCCCCGAAATTGTTCACAAATGCAATGGAGGACATGTTCAAGACGCTGCACTGGAAAGGGCGTGGCATCAATATCAATGGCGAATACATCTCTCACTTGCGATTTGCAGATGACATCGTCATCATGGCAGAGACGTTGCAGGACCTACAGCAAATGCTGAATGACTTAGCTGACACTTCTGTACGCATCGGCCTACGGATGAACTTGGATAAAACCAAGGTCATGTTCAACGAACATGTACTACCGGAACCGATTGCGGTACACGGTGCCGTTCTCGAAGTTGTTCAAAATTATGTGTACCTCGGGCAGACATTGCAGTTAGGTAGAAACAACTTCGAGGACGAGGTGAACAGAAGAATTCGGTTGGGTTGGGCAGCGTTTGGGAAGCTACGTCGAGTCTTCTCATCGTCGATCCCACAGTGCCTTAAGACGAAAGTCTTTAATGAGTGCGTCCTACCCGTCATGACATACGGAGCTGAAACGTGGACACTTACGGTACGGCTGGTCCACAAGTTCAAAGTCGCTCAACGTGCTATGGAAAGGGCTATGCTCGGCGTTTCTCTAAGGGATCGCATCAGAAATGAGGTGATCCGGCAGAGAACTAAGGTCACCGACATAGCGTACCGGATCAGCAAGTTGAAGTGGCAGTGGGCTGGCCATATTAGCCGCAGAACCGATAACCGTTGGGGAAAACGAGTTCTTGAGTGGAGACCGCGTCTCGGCAAACGTAGTGTAGGACGCCCACAGGCCAGGTGGAGTGACGATTTGCGCAAGATGGCTGGCAGGAGCTGGATGCGAGAAGCCCAAAATCGATCTAAGTGGCGTGCAATGGGAGAGGCCTATGTCCAGCAGTGGACTGCGATAGGCTGATGATGATGATGATGATGATCATGCTCTATCATTTGTTGTGTTGTCATCTTTTATGTTATTATTTTCTAAGTGGCTCTTAT